CCCCCCCCCCCCCCCCCCCCCCCTTGACGGGCAGCTATCCCATGCCCTCACTTGACTGTCTGCTGCCCTCCCTTGACTGTCTGCTGCCCCTGCCCCCTTCCTCCTCTGTCAGGTCCGCGCCGTCTTGTGCCCTGACAAGCTGAGTGCGCGCGAGTGGGAGGAAGTCGTCGAGGCCGCGCACGCCGAGGGGCTAGCCACGACCTCGACCATCATGCACGGCTCGGTCGAGGGCCCGCTCGCCGCCGCGCGTCATTTGGTGAGGCTCCGCGCGCTGCAGGAGCGGACGGGTGGGATCTCCGAGTTCGTCCCGCTCCCCTTCGTGCACGAGGCCTCTCCAATCTACGCGCGCGGGCGCGCGCGGCGCGGGCCGACGCTTCGCGAGGCCGTGCTGATGCACGCGGCAGCGCGGCTGGTGCTCTCAGACACCGTGCCCAATATCCAGACCTCCTGGTGCAAGATGGGCCCAGCGGGCGCGCGGCTCGCGCTGCGTGCGGGTGCGAACGACCTGGGCGGCACGCTCATGTCTGAGTCGATCTCGCGGGCCGCTGGCGCCTCCTACGGTCAGGAGATGCCCGCGCACGAGATGGCCGAGGTCGTCGCGCAGCTCGACGCGCAACAGGGACCCGACCCCGCGGACAGGCGCACGCTATGGCAGCGCACCACGCTCTACGCGCGCGCGCCTGACGAGCGCGTGGCGGTGGCGGCGGCGGCGGTAGGCGGCTGAGCAAGCTAGCTATCTTTTTTTTCATATAAATATGTATAAAGATATGTTGGTTTGCCGTGGTCTAGTGGAGACAACCAAGTGGCCGACACTTGCAGGTCTCAGGTTCGAATCGGGCAAAAATCGAATTTGTAAAAGGGGCTCTCTGAGTAACCAAGCTCAGGGGGGGCGGTATCTGTGTGGGTCGTAATCCGAATTAGTGGCGCGATTCCGCACTGGGGAGGGGGAAAAGCGGTGGCCGGGTCGAAGAAGTAGACATCGTTCACCCCTGCGCGCTAAGTACCGATAGCTGCTGTCGAATAAAGCCCTCTTCGAGGGTCGGAGCCCAATTCGTGTGCCTCTCGTGTGCCTCTGGGGTTGAGAACATACTAAAGGTAACTAACATTTCCGATTTTCAGCGTTCGGAAGCGAAATGAAAGTCATGGTTCCCGAAGTGATGCACAAAAGTTAGTTGCGGATTCATAAATGGGGCGCCGCCCCATTCACGAATCCGCAACTAACTATTGTGCACCACCTCCGGTTCGTGAGTTACTCTGAAGGATTTTCACCTCGAGTGCATCTGGGGTCGACAACATGCTAAATGTGACTAACATTTCCGATTCTCAGCGCTCGGAAGCGATAAGAAAGTTAAGGTTCCCGATGGGGCACAGAGGAGTTAGATGCAGATTCGTGAATGGGGCGGCCGAAGTAGTAGACAATCTGCGCCCCAGCGCGCTAAGCACCAATAGCTGTTGTCAAATAGAGCCCTTCTCGACGGTCGTAGCCCACCTCGTGTGCCTCTCGAGTGCATCTGGGGTCGACAACATGCTAAATGTAACTAACATTTCCGATTCTCAGCGCTCGGAAGCGATGAGAAAGTTATGGTTCCCGATGGGGCACACAGGAGTTAGATGCAGATTCGTGAATGGGGCGACGCCCCATTCACGAATCTGCATCTAACTCCTCTATGCCCAACTCGGTTCGTGAGTTACTCCGAAGGATTTCACCGGACTTTTTCGCAATTTTGCCCCGGACTGGCCACTAATTCGGATTTCGACCCTTGTGCTGTTTTGAGCGCAAGAGACCGCTCCCGACTTTGGTCAGACTCACACAACGCCGGTCGGAGGCGGACGGCGATACGGCCACTCCGGTACGGCGGACGCCATTGCTGACATCGCTCGGCGTTGTGCGCCACTCACGCATGTGTACTTTATTCTGCTCGTTCAACCTCTCATCGACGTCGGTTTATAACGACGTCACTCTTGCGAGTGAATCCGCCGTGCACGCAGGTACCTTCAGCTGCGCATATGCAATGAAGGCCCACCACTGTCAAAAAAGCACGTTGTTGAGTTGCCGAAAGTGCCCACGTCCTTGCCCAAGTTGCCGTCACCGAGTCAGGCCCGCCGTTGTTCAAGGACTGCTCGATCGCAGAACCTACAATGCCACACTACTGTATGCCACACTTTCCGCACGACACTTGCGCGTTGCGCCGCAGCCAATGCAGCAGGCCGACGCGACTTCGCGCCGGCATGAGATTGATACCTTTGCTGGTCGCACATTGGCGAGCTGGGTGGTGAAGAGCGATACTCGGAGTATCGCTCGCCGATCGCACATTGCTGCGAGGAGTGAACCTAGATCACCGAGCTCGTAGGCTGCGGCCGGATTTGGCGTCGCTCTCCGCCACGGTCCCTGCCCTTCTCGAGGCAAAGGCCACGCAGCCCGCGCCCGCTCTGCACCCGCTCTGCGCCGCTGCTTGCTCGCACAGGCTCGCAGCCTCAGCCATGTTGCGCTCCAACGTTCTTGGCGCAGTCAGTAACTAGTAGGCGAGCCCTCGCGACAAGGCGGGATTCGAGAGCTGCTGCAAACCCACACCCATGCCGAGGCAGCTAAGGCAGCCTGCTCACCGTAGAGCTGCACCGTGCAAGACCTTCCTACAAGGCGATGCCGAAACAGACTGGCGCAAAGCCCTGGTCGGCCGCCTGTGCCCTCCGAGACGGCACTGCGCGAAATGGACCCGCGAGAGTTCGCCAAGCTGATGATGGAAAAGCACACTTCCTTCAAAATGATTTAATTCTTACTTTATCATATCGAGTTGGACTTATGGTGTAGGTGGTTAGCACGGGAGACTCTGAATCTCCAGACTGTGGTTCGAGTCCACATAGGTCCTTTTCTTTCAAATGTCCTTATGTAATTGCGTATCACTGCACATTTTTTAGTTTTACGTCATTTCTTTTTGGCACGGCGCATATTAAAGGTTCTGTTAATTTAATGTGCATAGTTTATACTTAGAAAGATGAGAGCCACTTAGCGCGCAGGAACTGAGCCGAGCATTATGCCCCTGATCACATGCCTGGGCCTCGCATAGCATACAGGGCTCGATGTTTCGTACCGACGCACCGATGCACCCCCAATGATATGCTCCAGTAAATAACACCAGCTTCTCTTCTCCCCGGGAAAAATATTTCTGTCTTTATTAACTAACCAGTTATAAATATAAACTAACTGGTGGTACCGGTTAACCCTGTCGCAACACGAATCTGAACCACACCTGACGCGGCCAACGTGACCGTTTAGGTGTTTCGCGTTGCATGCGTGAGACATGCCCAACTCAATCAATTAGGTCCATAGCGCGCGTCGGAGCCCACCCGCGATCTGACAATACCGGATACCCCCTCTGGCCACTCACGCAGAGTTGGTGATCTCCGACGCCATTCGTTCTGCGCTCGCCCGGGGGAGGCTGCGCACGAGTCTGTTTGCAAGCTCGGACTACACCTCGCCCACAAGCGAAGGCACGCGCAGGCACTAGCTGGCCCACCGCTCGCCCGTGTTGCGCGTCGATCGCCCGTCATCATCCATCCGGCCACCAATGGCTCGTCAGACCTCAAGTTGGCCATGCCCAGCCGCAGCCAGGGTAGCAGTCGCGCGCGCAGCCGGCTCACAGACTTTCGAGCGTGGCCGGGGTCTCGTCATGCATCTCGATGTTATTCTGCGCGCTGCCGAAGAGGCCGCGGCCTGCACACTTGCCGGCCGTGCCACGCTCCGGCTCCACCGCGTTCTCGGCCGCCTAGTCCTTCATGCGCTTGCCGCCGGAGGGCTTGATGTCCTGGAGCGCCTTTATTCTCAGGTGGTGCTTGCGCACCTTAACCTTCCTGTGCTTGGGCTTGGCCGGGTCCTCCATCTTGGCGTCCGCGTCCCTTGCCTGCTTCTGCTGCTTCTTGTGCAGCTTGCTGGCCTTCTTGATCTCCGACTTGACGGCCCTCTCCTTGTTGGCCGCGACCTCGCGCGCAATCTCACCCTTCTTCACCTTGCGCGAGCGCTCGCGCTTGGACATCGTGAAGTGGGGCGGTCGCGCGGCAGCGGCTTGGGTCCGAGCGCCCCCTCCTTCAGTCCGTTTTGGGAGCGACGCGGAAGTTTTTTTAAAAAAAATCGGAGACTGCAGTTTGAAGGGAGTGTTGGGCACACGAGGGAGTGCTGGGCACGGCATGGGTATTGGCGAGGGGGCATCGCACGCACCAGCTTGGCTCTCGGTGCGGCACCTCCCTCGAACACGTGTACCCTCAGCGGCGCTCACCGCGTTTTAAAAAGTGACGCAATCAGCGGCAACCCGGCCGAAGCAAAAGCTGACACACGGGCAACCAGGGCTGACTAGAGCTCGTCTTTGAGGCAGACGAGCGAGATGTCGGCACAGCACGCGCCGCTCGTACCGGGCGGGATCCTCGCGCTGCTCGACGCCGTGGCGCCGGCCGTGAGCCTCACGACGGCCGTCGCGTGCGTGGCGTGCACGCTGCTTGAGTCGGGCTCAAGCCCGCTCGTGCTCCGCGTCTTCGCCGCGTGCGAGAAGGTCTTTCCGCTCTGCTCGACATGCGTCACCTTCTCGCTCGGCTTCTTCCTCTCCACGTCGTACGCGCGCTGGTGGAAGCTGCGCGATCTCGCCGGTACCGTGGTCGGCCGCACGGTCGACACGATGGTGTGTGTCTCCTACCAGAAGCTGCTCAAGTGCTATGTGCTCACCTGACCCCCCCTCCCCCCACCACACACGCACACACACACCACCACCCCTAACCCCTCCCCCCCCCTGATCACTACGAGCAGGTCATGATCTGCACTTACCTTAACGGCACCACCCAGAAGTCGTGTGACGGCCGGCGCAAGCTCGCGCGCTACCTGCTGCTCGCGCACGCAGTAAGCCTGCAGGCGAGCCACCGGAGCTTCCGCCCCGACAAGCTCCTCGAGCTGGGCTTGGTAGACGAGAATAATGGCGAGCTGCACGCGCTCGAGCAGGCCAACACCGCGCGCTACAACATTGTGCGCGCCCCCGCGCCGTCGGCACGCGCGCTCTGCCTTGCCTCTCAGGGTCTGGCCTCATCCCACGCCCTGCGTGAGCCCTCGCCCAACACCCAACACTCCACGTCCACGCACACGCCTAATTTCGAATATATCTTTAAAAACAAGCAGACGTACCAGTGGTTTCTTTCGTGCTTTTACTCGCAACTCACAGTGGGCGTCGACATTGTTGCGCGCGGAAACATCATGTTTCTGGTGCAGGCGAACGTCTCGCACATGCGCGGCGGCTCCGCCGATATTTTGATGTGAGCCTTTAGCCCTGTTGGCACTAGCTTTATCCCTCCTTTCCTAACCCCCGAACCCTATCTCTCGTTATCTCTATCCTAACTAAATCTTAAAATGTGCATTTGAACCCCAGAAGGTACATCAATACATCAACGAGCGTATCCTGCGTCCGATCGTGATGAAATCTCGAACCATGCCCCATCTCTACCCTTACTTAGAGGTATAACCACCCCCCCCCCTTATCAATATCTATAATTTCGAATATATCTTTAAAACCAAGGTACCTCAACGAGCGCATCCCGCGTCCCATCGGCATGCTAGCGCAGGCGATCACTACGCTTCAAACCGCGGTCCCAACTTTTTTTTTTTTTTTTCTTAACGCATGCACACACACACACGACACAAAAAATCATCAGGTACCTCAACGAGCGCATCCCACGTCCCATCGTCATGATAGCGCAGGTGATCACTACGCTCTACTGCGCGGTCATCGCGCCCATCGCGCTGGCCTCACAAATGCGCTGGTATGTCCCCCCCCCCCCCCCCCCCCCCCCCCCCCCCCC